CTCCTCCCTCAGACCCAGGAGTCCAAGTCCCCAGCCTCTCCTCCCTCAGACCCAGGAGTCCAAGTCCCCAGCCTCTCCTCCCTCAGACTCAGGGGTCCAAGTCCCAAGCCCCGTTCCCTGAGAACCTGTAAAACCAAACAACCCAGTTTTTTCTTTCTTTGGACACCTATGCCCTCAGTTCCCCATTTCCCCTCTTTCTTGGCATCCAGCATCCCGCTTCACATTGCCCCACTCTCCCAGAGGCCTAGACACACATCCTGGGAATGTGGGGTCCCCAGGGAGCTTCTTGCATGAGGAGGGATGGACTGACATTTCCATCACTGCCCCTGCCTAGGGGGACACACAGGGCCCCCCGGTCTTGGTTTGTGAGGAACACCTAGCTCAGGACCCAGGGCTTATCTGTAGCTCCCCCTACCTCTTCTGAACTCTGGGGAAGGGGCTGCTGAGTGACAGGAGCAGGTGAGGTCTGGGCTCTAGAGCCCAGCTCAAAACAAGGTCCGGACCAGCAGCTCTCAACCCTGTCAGGCAAATACTTTTGTCTCCTCAAATTCATCCTGAAATGAAATGCATAGGTTAGGGGCACCTGGGTGGCTCAGCCGGTTAAGTGTCTGCCTTCAGCTCAGGTCATGATCCCCGGGTCCTGGGATCGAGCCCCGCATCAGGCTCCCTGCTTGGCGGGGAGACAGCTTCTCCCTCTCCCATGCCCCCTGCTTGTGTTCCCTCTTTCTCTCTCTCTGTAAAATAAATAAATAAAATCTTTTTTTAAAAGTGCATAGATTAAACTATGCATAATTTTTTTAAAAATCACTATAATACCCAAGGGGCGCCTGGGTGGCTCAGTGGGTTAAAGCCTCTGCCTTCGGCTCAGGTCATGATCCCAGGGTCCTGGGATGGAGTCCCGCATGGGGCTCTCTGTTCCGTGGGGAGCCTGCTTCCTTCTCTCTCTCGCTGCCTGCCTCTCTGCCTACTTGTGATCTCTCTCCATCAAATAAATAAATAAATAAATCTTTAAAAAAAAATCACTATAATACCCAAACTGTATTATAGGGGATGATTAAAAAAAAAAAAAAAAGAATGCCCTTCATAGTAACGTTATCTGTGTTTCAAATGAAAATGCCAGGACACGGGGCGCCTGGTTGGCTCAGTGGGTTAAGCCTCTGCCTTCAGCTCCCGTCATGATCCCAGGGTCCTGGGATCGAGCCCCGCATCGGGCTCTCTGCTCGGCGGGGAGCCTGCTTCCCTCTCTCTCTCTCTGCCTGCCTCTCTGCCTACCTGTGATCTCTGTCTGTCAAATAAATAAATAAAATCTTAAAAAAAAAATGCCAGGACACGATTATAATTATTCTGGGAAGCAGAATGGGCTAGTCAGACATTGGCACCTCTAGGGAGAATCCCTATGTCACTGAACCAGTCTCCCTTCCCTATAGAGGATCGTCGAATTTCTGTAAAAATAAAGTAAAAATTTAAGATGTGCAGAAAATGCTTTTGTAAAATGGAATTGGGTTTTAGATTTAGATCATTTAAAATAGACTCTCCACTTTAATGGATGCCTGATGGGACATTGGAAAGTGGAGTGAGATGTGGGCAAATTTTGCTACAGGGGACTGTCTGTCCCCCACAATTTAGCCTCCCTACCGTAATGGCTATGTCAAGTAAATTTCTCAAAGCTCCTTAGAAAGGTGGTATAACTCCACTGAGAATCACTGTTCTAGAAACTAGGAAGCATAGGGGCTTAGTGAGTGTCTGAGTTGAGTGTTCTAGTTACTAGGGTTCTAGCAACTCTCTCAAGAAGATTCTAGAACACCACTCCCCACTAAAAATCTAATGCAACCCACATATGTAATCTTTTATTTTCCAGTAGACATATTACAGAAAGATGTTTTTTTAAGATTTTATTTTTAAATAATCTCTACACCCGGGGCGCCTGGGTGGCTCAGTAGGTTAAAGCCTCTGCCTTCGGCTCAGGTCATGATCCCAGAGTCCTGGGATCGAGCCCCACATCCGGCTCTGATCTGTAGGGAGCTGCTTTCTCCTCTCTCTCTCTCTCTCTGCCTGACTCTCTGCCTACTTGTGATCTCTGTCAAATAAATAAATAAAATCTTTCAAAAAAAAAAATCTCTACACCCAACATGGAGCTCAAACTCACACCCCCAAGATCAGGAGTCACCTGCTCTACCAATTGAACCAGCCGGAGGCCCCAAGAAAGATTTTTTTTAACAGGTGCATTGAGTTTTGATAACATTCCCTTAACTCACACTATCCAAAATATTATCTCAACTTGTAATCAGTATAAAGCAATAATTAATAAGATAGTTCACATTTTCTTTTTCCAAAATCTGGGGCACCTGGGTGGCTCAGTCAGTTAAGCATCTGTCTTCAGCTTAGGTCATGATCCCAAGGTCCTGAGATCGAGCCCTGCATTAGCTCCTTGCTCAGCGGGGAGCCTGCTTCTCCCTCTCCCTCTGCCCTGCTCATGTGCTTTCTCTCTGTCTTTCTCTCATGCTCACTCTCTCTCTGAAATAAATAATAAAATCTTTAATTTTTTTTATTAAAGAGGAGAGACCCCTCTTTTTAAAAAAGAAAAAAAGATTATCTATTTATTTTATTTAGTTGAAAGAAAGAGACTGAGATAGAGCACAGGCAGGGAGAAGAGGGAGAAGCAGGCTCCCTGCTGAGCAGGGAGCCCCACACATGGGACTCAATCCTAGGACTCTGGGATCATGACCTGAGCTGAAGGCAGATGCTTAACCAACTGAGCCACCCAGGCACCCCTAAATAAAATCTTTAAAAATAATAATAATAATAAAGCCAATAGTAAAAAATGAATGTGCACTGAGTGCCGGCCGCACGTCAGGTACGCTGGGCATTCTCTGCTGCCCCTCTGAGACAGGGGCTGCACTTATACCCATTTCACAGTTGGGGAAACTGACATAAGGGGGAATAAAGGAACCTCCCCCAAAATGCTGCAGCTAAATGTCAGAGCTACCCTTTTCTGCACCCCCATCCTGACCCATACCCCAGGGGGGCCACTGGCAGGAGAAGGCACAGGGGTCCACCCCCCCAGGGCTGCTTAAACCAAGAAGGTTCCCAGCGCAACCTGCTCTCAGACTGCTCCCAATGCCCTAGGCTCTCATGGGCTCCACCTCTGACAAGGCACCCCTGGGGGGCAGCAGGTGGAGGCTGGGGTCTGTTTGCTGGAGGATGACTGGGATCCTGGGCAGTGCCTCCCTTTCCTTCATGGGTAAGGAAACAGAGGTTCTCAGATGGGAGGTGTCGGCACTGCCATAGGCCATCTTGGAATCAACTTTTTGGTTACAGAGTCTGGGGGCCTGGTGCCTGTGGGTCTTTCCCACAGTGGGTGCGGGTGTCGGTGGGAGGCCCAAAGTCCAGTCCAGGCCCTCAGAGCCCATCCCCACAGGCGACAGCTGGCCAAGCTGGCCCTCATCTTCAGTTACATGCACGCGGAACTGGGTGCACTCTTCCCCAAGGGAGAGTACTGTGGGCACACCTACCAGCCCACCAAGGCGCAGGCCCATGCCTTCTGGAGGGAGCACTGTGGAGCCCGGTGAGTTAGCACCTGTCCCTGGGGCCCCTTAGTTCCAGCGCCTCATCCTGTCCCTGCCCTAGGGGACCCAGGAGTCCTCGCCCCCAGCTGCCTCTTCCCTCAGACCCAGGAGTCCAGCCCCCAGCCACCTACTCCCTCAGACCCAGCAGTCTAGACCCCCACCCGCCTCCTCCCTCAGACCCAGCAGTCCAGGCCCCCAGCCACCTCCTCCTCAGAGGCCTTCCCATCCAGGTTCCTCCGCTGCATACCCCACCCCCTCCATCCAGGTGTGTGCTGCCCTGGGCTGAGTTTGAGTCACTCTTGTGCACCTGCCACCCAGTGGAATCAGGCTCCACGGCCCTGGCCTTGCGCTCCACCATTAACCTCACCTGCAGTGGCCACGTGTCCATCTTCGAGTTTGACATCTTCACCAGGCTCTTCCAGGTCAGCAAAGGCCAAGGCTGGAAGCCCAGACTCTTGGGTCCTGGGGGAAGGAGAGGTTGGTGAGGGAAGAGGGGCTGGGATCCCAGACCTGTGGTTCCTGGGAAAGGGAGGATCTGGAGTCTTCTGTATCAGATTCCTGAGGCCCGCCCCAGGTGAAAGCAAGGTGACTGAGACTCCGGGAGGCATGAGAGGTGGGCGGCTTCCTCGGCCCCTCCCTGACCCACATGCCTCCCCGCTCCAGCCGTGGCCAACACTCCTCAGGAACTGGCAGCTCCTGGCAGTCAACCACCCGGGCTACATGGCCTTCCTCACATATGATGAGGTCCAAGAGCGTCTGCAGACCTGCAGAGACAAGCCAGGCAGGTAAAAGGGCTGGGCCTCAGGAGGAGGAGGCTGCTGGGGGCTCCAGGGTCTGGATCCTGGGCTGGGGTGTTGGGGAGCCCAGCCAGCCTTTGGGGAGTAAGAACTGAAGGGCTGAAGAACCTGGGACCCCAGACTGCTAAGCACTGAGAGGTAAGATGCTGAGTGCCTCATCTCCTGGAACCTCCCAGGAGCCTAATGATCTTGGGCAGTGCTCAACATGCACCACCTTTCGACGTGCATTCTTCTGACACTCTCACAATACACCTTCTCACAATCCAGCAGCTAAAGGAACAATACCGGGGCCGGGGGGCTGAAGACCCTGCCCCAGGATAATATCCATTTCTGATGAGTCAGAGCTCATATTGTACCGTCTGTCAAAAAAAATTTTTAAGGGGCGCCTGGGTGGCTCAGTGGGTTAAAGCCTCTGCCTTCGGCTTGGGTCATGATCCCAGGGTCCTGGGATCAGGCCCCATGTTGGACTCTCTGCTTGGTGGGAAGCCTGCTTCCCACTCTCTCTCTCTGCCTGCCTCTCTGCCTACTTGTGATCTCTGTCAAATAAATAAAATCTTTAAAAAAATTTTTTTTTATATGACCCCCCCCCACACACACACACTTGCTGGAGTAGGAGACTGAGATCCAAACACCTGAGTGCTTAAAAGATTTCAAGCCAGGAAACTTGAGCTGTTGGGTCCTCCCAGAGGGCTAAGGATTGAGGGACTGAGCTACCTGGAACACCTGGATGTTGAGGGAATAGGTCACATTCATGAGTCTTGCAAAGCTGACTCCAGTAATGCCAAGTATGTTAGCACTCTCCCAGTTAAACTTCATGCTGGTTTAAAGGGAAAGGAAAAGGGATGGATAAATTCTCATGATTGAAAAGACCAGATGTGGGGTTTCAGGCACAGCTGGATCTAGGTGCTCAAATGCTGTTGTCAGGAATCAGTGTCTTCCCTGTGTCTACTTCTCTCTGTGTTTGCTTCATTCTCAGACATGGTCTCTCCTTATGGTGGCAAAAGGTTTCTAGAAGCCCCAGCTGTACACTCTACCAGCTTAGAAACCTCTGTAGGAATAGGGTAACTTGCTCCTGATACTTCTAGCAAAAAAAATCTCAGTGGTTACTATGGTCAGGGGTCCTAAAAAAGTCACTGATTGGCCAAGATAAAAACAACCTTGTCTGAGCCCCAGTGAAGGAGGAGGAAGAGACAAGCAGGTAAAGCAGAGGGTAATTCCCTATAGTGGAGGACAAGAATTTTAATGCTCGATGAAAAAGTGGGAAGCTAGATTATAAAGGACAAAGACTTAGATACCTGGATCTCCAACAGAATGGGCAGCTGGGAAGTCCCCAGTGGGACAGCAGTGACCACTCCCTCACCCCATCCTACCAACCTCTTCCTCCAGTTACATCTTCCGGCCCAGCTGCACTCGCCTGGGTCAATGGGCCATTGGATACGTGAGCTCAGATGGCAGCATCCTGCAGACCATCCCTCTCAACAAACCCCTGTTCCAGGCACTCCTGGATGGACAAAAAGAAGGCTTGTGAGTCGCCATCCTGGCAGGGGGAGGGTGTCCGCAGAATGTGCTTGGAAAAGTAGCTTGTGTTGCTGATCCCTCAGCGCCCAGGTCGCAGGGCAGACATTGAACGTTTGCAATACTACGTTGTTCCAGTAGGCGGCAGACGAGGGTCTTGAGGAAGGGGAGCTATTTCTTTCTTTCTTTTTTTTTTTTTTTTTAAGATTTTATTTGTTTTAGAAGCAGAGAGAGAGAGAAAGCGCGAGCTCGAGCTCGAGTGGAGCCCGACCCAGGCCTTGATCTCAAAACCCTGAGGTCATGACGTGAGCTGAAATCAAGAGTCTGAAACCAAACCAGCTGAGCCACCCAGGCGCCCCCAGGGCACCTTTTCTGGTTCACGGAAAGCTGCCATGGGCACTAGCAAGTGGCTGCAAGGAGTGTGTGGGAGCCGACCCCACTGGCTCTGTTCCTGGGAATTCTGCTGAAAATCTTTGGCTTCTAGATACCCCTATCCTGTTCTAGAATCTAGACCGTTGAAGGAGAAAGAACTGGGCAGGTGTTTTCAACCTCCAGCCTTGGCTGCCCCCCAGCTCCTTTTTCAGAAGCTGCCCTGGGTCGGAGGGGAGCGGAAAAAGGTGGTGGGCTTCCTGGGTCTCTCCCTGAACCTTTAGCCAGAGCTTTCTTACCAGGCGTACCAAAATGATACGATGTGAGACAGTTAGATATGCGGTCCGTTCTCTTGTTGTTGTTAATGGTAGTTCTGTAAAGTCCCCACGTACACTGATTTATAGAACACTGAGCCACGGCTTATGGGGCAAATACAGGTGTAGTTTCCCGCAAGATTCTGGTCCCGTATATTATTTTTAATTTTAAGTAGGCTGCACTGCCAGTGTGGGGCTTGAAATCATGACCCCGAGATCTAGACCCCAAGCTCTACGGACTGCACCAGCCAGGCGTCCCATCTGGTCACATTTTTGTCAACCAGTTGCTACCTTATTGGTAACCAGTAGCAACCTTTATGTGTTTTTCTGCCTAAAGACACCTTATTTAATGTGTAGTCCATGCTTCGACAGTGAGGTCAAGTCTAAATAAAGCTCATCCGACACGTGTATATTCCCTATGAGGCACAGCCCAGCCTTGTGCTTAGGGACGCTGGACAGCACTCAAGCACTGTCTCGGGGACATTTAAAACAGCGAAATCACCAACAAAATGCATAATAATGCAAAAAAAACCATGGCACTAAATGCACTGATAAGGATGCTCGTTTATAGCGTGAGGAACTGAAATGAAAAGGCCGAGTGTCCCCTTCTCCAGCCTCAGCCGGAAACGCATCAGGTGACTCAGGGTTTTGCCATGATGTGCAGTTGGTGAGTGACCACAAGAGTACAATGACTATGGATTTGGGGGTGACAGATGTTAGCAGGGAGACACATCTGCAGAAACGGAATCCAAGAATATTGAGGCTCTGTTGGTTATACTAGTATATCCCGACTTGACAAGCAAGAAAAACTGAGGCACAGAGAGACAGAGCCACTTGCTGGGGTCACACAGCCACTGAGCTCATGGGCTGGGATTTGAGGCCAGGCTCAGATACGGACCTTCACCCACCACAGTGTCTTGAGTTCCAGGTCAGACTTCATTGGAGAAAAGAGATTCTAGAAATGAAATGAATATGAACGTCATCAGTCTGGCTTAACCCATTCCTCTGCCCCATGCTGCCCAGCACACAGACCACACTACCCATTATAAAGATGGACAGATCAAGGAGAGAGGCGAAGAGACTCCAAGCACTTTCTATCATACAGTGAAGTGGCTTGTGGGGTCTAAAGCTGATCATAACAGTTCTCTCTTTGGATGTGTTTAGGTGTGGAGGAAGCATTTTATGGCCGCCAGCAATCTTTGCCCCGCCCCCCCCCTTCCCAGGCATGATTGTGTCCATTTTACAGAAAGGAAAACTGAGTGCAGGGAGGTAGAGCTGCCCAGCGCAGGACACACAGTGTGTTTGTGGGAGAGCTCTACCTGGCTGGCCGGGCAGACCCATCAGGCTCAGGGGACCCGTGGCGCCACTGTAGGGTACAGTTGTGACCCAGAGGGTGCACAGCCCAGTTCTCAGACCTTGCCCACGGCCCTCCAGGCCCTGCTGTGTGGCCTTGAGCTGTTACCTTTCCTGCAGTGAACTTCCATAACTATATGTGAAGTGAGGAGTGTAGACAGTGTAGAAGGGTCCTTCTGATTTGCTAATCCAAGGCTAGGATCTGGTTGCTCTAGCAATGCATGACCTAAGACGCTCCTATATTTGGAGCCGAACACTCAAGGACGGGGGCTCTCTGGGAGGGTGAAGACTGGGGTTTCCTGGTTTCTCAGTTTCCTGGTTCCTGTTGACCTGATTTGTGTTTCCAGACCTTGGGACACTTAGGTCTAATGTGCCTTTTCTGGGGGGCTCTGAGGGGATACGGCCCTGCCCTGGGATCCGAGGAGATACCACTTGCCCTGGAAAGTCCCAATGGGAGGAGAGGGAAGGGAAGAGATTCCTAGGCCAATGATAGGTTTGGGAGAGATGCTCCTCCAGGGGCCGTGGGCCTATGGCAGAGTCCGGGGAGCCCTTGCTTCTTTGGGTGGGGAATGTTAGATGTCCCTCAGTACCCCCTCTTCCCTTCGCCCAGCTACCTCTACCCAGATGGGAAGAACCACAACCCAGACCTGACTGAGCTCTACCAGACGAAACCCCATCCCTACATCCATGTGTCAGAGGTGAGGTCGCGCCCTCTGCCTCCCATCGCCCCACCCCTGCTTCCTGCCCCACCCCTCACCCCCTCACTGTGCCTTGATTCCTGAATTCTCTCCCACAGAGTCAGGCCTAGAATCCCAGAGGCCTTGGGTATGTGTGCTGGTGCGGTGGCCATGTGAGCTGGGTTAAATCACTTGGCCCCTCTCTCTGCCTCTGTTCCTTCTCTGGAAACTACGGCTCCTCCTGCCTCCTCCCCAGGGGTTTTTGCTGAGATTAAACCAGGAAATGATACCGCTGAGGTTCTTGGAATGGCTGATGCACTTGAGCTTCCCCCGATGACAGCCCCTGTATAGCTTCCAGTCTTCACAGCCACCCCATGGGTGAGAGAAATGCCAAGTGAAACCTTTTGGCATAAGTATATCCCACACACTATCTGGGATATACTTAGACCTTAAAAAATTCCACTTCATTTATCCAGAAATCAGCTTTAACAGGGCATGCTATATTTTTAGTTGCTAAATCTGGCAACCCTGAGTGTAGACCACCCTGGAGACAGAGGCCCACAACAAGGTATAAGGAGGAGGCTGCTGGATACACAACCTTGAACTTTGGAGGGCTCAGGGCTGGCACAAAAGTTTGGGACTTTCTTCCTGTGGCCTGACTTGGATCCCCATGGCTGACAGGCCCCTTGTCATCCTCCCCATCTTCTCGCCTGCTAGGAGCAGCTGCAGCTCTACTGGGCCATGGACTCCACGTTCGAGCTCTGTAAGATCTGTGCGGAGAGTGACAAGGATGTGAAAATCGAGCCCTGTGGGCACCTGCTCTGTAGCCGCTGTCTGGCCGCCTGGCAGGTGGGTCTGACCACCCTGCCATCCTGCCCATTCTCCCCCCACTTTACGGCACAAGTCCCTCCTAGAGGATCACCCACATAGGGCAATGCTTATGGATCAGATGGGGAAACTGAGGCCCAGGGAGAGCAGAGATGTGCTCAGGGTCCCTCAAGAGTGATGAGCAGGAGCCCAACTCTCTCTGTGCCTCTGTCTCCATCTTGCTCTGTGTCTCTCACCTCCGCTCCTCCTTCTCCGGCTGCATTATTATCCGTGGAAAGGGCTCCTTCTTCCCTGTTCCTTGGCTGGGCGATCTGGGGCTAGTGGCCTCCCCTCTCTGAGCCTTAGGCTCCACCCCTGGAGAACGGGGCTAACAGTAGCCAACCTCCCAAGGGCTATAGTGAGGATCCAAGCCCACAAAACCCTCTGCAAAGGCCCTCTGGGAAGCCGGGGCTCTTGACCCCTAGGTAGTATAGGACCTGACATTAATATTTTTTTTTTAAAGATTTTCTTTATTTGAGAGAGGGAGAGAGCATGAGAGGGGAGAAGGTCAAAGGGAGAAGCAGACTCCCCATACGCGGGACTCAATCCCAGGACTCCGGGATCATGACCTGAGCTGAAGTCAGTCGCTTAACCAACTGAGCCACCCAGGCACCCTGGGTTTTTGATGGTAATGGAGGTGTTGGACAAGTATCTGATGGCTGAGGCACGCGTTCCAAAGACTTTCATCTTGGATACACATATTGCCGGCTGTAGGATGCCGCTGCTGGCAAAATCCGATAAGGAACCAGGCCACCCAGCTCATGAAGTCCCCCGTTTAGAAAGCCCAGGGGAGGGGCGCCTGGGTGGCTCAGTGGGTTAAAGCCTCTGCCTTCGGCTCAGGTCATGATCCCAGGGTCCTGGGATCGAGCCCCGCATC